AACAGATTGATGCAGTGTCTAAGATGCCAGGACCTCCAGGACCACAGGGTCCCCCTGGAATCAACGGTACTCAAGGAATCCAGGGTCCACCGGGGATAGATGGAACTCCAGGATCACCAGGTGTACCGGGGKCTAATGGTTCAACAGGCCCGCAGGGGGCTCCTGGTGCAACAGGAGAACCAGGTCCACGGGGYTTCAATGGTTCAGCAGGACCCGTTGGTCCAAAGGGAGACCAAGGAGCAGGAAATCTTACACAATGTGTGGTGAAGACAAAACAAGAASTAGCGGCTAGCGGGCCTGCTGCAAAACGGACAGTCACTGTAACAGAGGGAATTGTAAGCTATTTATCTGTTAGTTTAGTTTATTGCGGTTAGACACATTAATATTACAAAAATAATCAAAATTATCAATATTAGATAAAAAGAAGCACAGCACTTGGCAAGGTTCAAAATATCAGGGCTCTCGACCCCTAAGTAAACTCTGCTTTGTTGGCTTCTTGGCACCAATTCACTGGCTTTGAGAAATCGTTAAGATGGTCGATTTTAATATATTGTTAACTTAATCTCAACAGGGGAAAAAGATTCTGAGCGCCTCATGTTCATCCAATAAAGCAGATACAGTAGAACAATCTGTAGGAACCAATAGTGCTGGAGAGAAAGCTTTCTCATGTACATGCTATGGACAAGGAAGCTACGCTAACTTCCCGTCAGGCGACATGATATGTTACATAATCTACACAGAATGTCCCCTGATCTCCTGATTACTTTCCAAACAAACATTTTATACTTCCAAACATCATTCACCATCGTGGTCGCAATATGACATTTTGGACTAAAGGCCTTGATATTTGGCGCTAGGCAAATTAACTTGCTGATCAATGTCACCGGCTATCGCTTGTCGTAGAACCTCTGCGGCCAAAGTCTACAGCGCGGGCCACTCGACAATTCCGAGCGCGGAGTGGCCGCTAAGTCAGTAGAGGTTCTACTGTAATTACAATCCATTGTAGACCCGAATTTTTCGTGGTTTTAGATAGTTCTTAGTTATTAACTCTTTGTATAATTTTAAAGATTTTTTAAGCAGAAAATTTTCAACTTTTCAAGTTTTTAGGGGGCTTTCATTTATTAGCGCATGGAAGTTGTGTGTGTGTGTGGGGGGGGGGGGGGGGGGGGGGAGTTACGTTATTTTGATTAAGAAAGGTGATTTTGATTAGAAGGGTGATGTAAATAGTAAAATCGTATATGTACTATATAAATATCATATTCAGTACAGCTAGCCGCTGGGATTGAAGCAGCTGCATTAACCAAGATACTAAACCTAGGAACTATACCTATAAATGAAAATCACGTAAAGAAAAAAGTTTCAAATTGATACGTATCATATTTTAATGACACACCTCCATTATTACAGACAGTCATGTCATGGAGAACGGACGGGATACCCGCGGGATCCTCTTGTTAGTGATTTATACAGAAAAATGAGAAGTGACTGCAGTGTACTATAATGATA